TGTTACCTAGCTCTTCAGTTCCTTTGATTTTGAAGTTAATTTAGTTAGAATAGTTCATTTTATCTTTGATGTATCATAAATTTTGTATTCGGTTAATTTTTTTATTGGTAATGGCAAACTAAAATGAATGAATGAACGAATGAACAATGATAATCATTAATTATAGTAGAAAACATATTTATGAAATGCTTTCGGTATGAAATAATCCCTAACCCTTTAATTTGACCCTTACATGTGATTACCATCTAATTTCTCCTTACAGTATCACCCTGAATCACACGTTAAGGTCATGAGAATAGAGGAAATGATCACCATCTTTATTGTTAAAAAAATTCTCCTTGTAAGCACCTTAGGAAATGTATAGAGAACAGTATGGAGAATATGCAGGTGTAAAGGATTAGTAGTGGTGACTTTTGTTAGTATAGACACTGACTAAAGTTGTCCTTCAGTCATGTAATTTAGCTAATTAAAAGTGTTACTGTAAACTTCAAGAATGAAATGGTTAATTCATTAATTTGTTAATTCAAACATTGCATGAAACATTTCTTCCAGCAACAAATTCTTCAGCTGATGGTTGGAAACAGAACAGTGCTCTGCTCCACAGAGAGAGAAGGTAGGTCACCCTTAAAATCAACTGAGTTTCATCATATCACGAACTTTACAGCAAAAGTATTAACTATTGTCGAAACTTGCAACTTTTTTTTACATTGCTCCTTTTCACCTATCTTTCTAATTCTTCTGTGAACACAGATGGTAAATACTCACTATCTGAGAGAACAGTTGATACATTCCTGGAGCAATTAAGATGTGCCAGTAGATGTGCTTGATGACCAGGTACTAAAACAATCTCCAGAGCACAGGAACCCCAATCCTCCTCTATCTCATTCATTTTCACAAGAATCGTTCACGCAGGTAATTTTAAACATCGAGAAACTAGCTTTGAAATTCAGAGAATCCCCTCACTGGCTTCAGAAAATTCATATTTGTTTGGTCCTTTGCATCAATGGGAATGGTCTACTAGAGTGATTTTGGGGTTGAAATGAGTGGAGAAAAAGAGGTAAGAGAGATTAGAAGAATCGCTGTCAGGCTCTGCAGCTTCTCTTGTGGCTATGTTGCCCAGTCATGGAGTGGCATTGGTGTCCACAGAAGCTGCAGGGGTGGGAATGGCCAGTGGGTGTGTAAGTTTGGGGTCGTTTTCAACGTTGGCAAAATATAAGTTATGAACTACTAAGTGAGTATAATTTAGCCTCTAACATATAAAATGTGGATATTCAATGAAAAGTTGAAATCATGAAAAAAATGAAATCACTATATCTAATTACCAATTGTTGGAATGCCATGGTCTCAATTTTTACCCACAGTGAAAAATTATGTTAATCACTGTGTATTATTGTCTGCTAATGAAGAAAGTTTTCTGAGAAAACTTAGTAAAATGCTTCTGTGTTTTTTAACCATGATTAAAACAGAGATTTGTTTTAAATGATCAAAAAAACTGGTGTTATCAGGGAAATCTATATCCCCTTGGGTAATCTAGTTTTTTTAAAAAAAAGAAAAACAGGAGTAAAGGAACATATATGTTGTACTTAATTAGTACATACTGTTCCAAACCACCTTCAGCTATTGTTAGTACAGTTTGGTTGAAAGCTGGATTGTTCAATCCTGAGCCAAGCCATCTTCTCAATGCTGACTTCTCTGAGGGACAGCCTTATGCACATCGGCAACGTTGTTCAATAGACTCCCGATAGCAACAAGAAACATTTTAGAACATAATGTTTTTTGCCGTAGTGCTAAGAAACATTTGTTTGCTAAATATTGGTCTTGAATCCACATAATATGTATTGTATATTTTAATATCTCACGATAAGTTACATTGATTAATTTTTATCATTGTTATTATACTTTTAATTAGTTACTACATATATATATATACTTAGACTAGATTAGTATTGTTACAGAAGAAGAGCCTCTTAATTGTTGGAATCTGTGATAAATCAAAATAATAATATATAAATTTAAAAAAAAATCAACTAGTGTGAAGTTAGGCATACCCTGTGAGCAGAGCCTTTTCTTCTTTTCTTCTTTTTAATCGATTCGAGGACAGGTTAAAAAGGTTCTGATCGCAGGGTAAGTTAGGCATGGTCTTGATTTAAATCATTATGTTGACATTCTTGCATGTATATTATTCCATTCATCATCATCAGTTTATGTCATCATTGAGGACAGGTAACAAAGCAAAAGCTGTCATCTTTCAATCCATATTCCTGGAGCTTTTGGATACTTTCTTAGTTTTCTACTTTCTTACTTTCAGCAAGGAAGAGAAGCAAAAAGAACGGGGGAAAACTTGAAATGAATAACGTCCAATTGGCAACGGAAGTGGCGGAGGAAACCATGGCTCATTTTTGTGAAGATGAACGAGAAGAGAAAGACAAAAAAAGGGAGGATTGGAAAAGGAAACCTTCTCACGGAGAAGGAAATCATGTTGATCACAGAGAGCAAAAGATAAAAAGGTAACCGAAGGAAGGAGGTGTAATGTATTAGGCCGCTGAGTTTTTTTTTATGTTTGAAGCGGACGGTCAGGCTCCCGTGAGGGCGGTGCAATGCCTGCCGACCATAATGTCCACTCCAACCCATCGCTAGAGTGCAAGGCCTTAGGGTTGGGACCGCAACAAACGAGGAACACCAGTCGCCAACCTCGCTGGGGAATCGAACCCCACCTCACTGAAACCAAAAATTCAACACACACATAAGAGAACAAACCGAGAACTAAAACGACAGAACGATACAAGCCCAGTGCAGTACACCAACAAAGGAGACCCAGCACATGGGTTACGAAACGGAAACTAACAATGGGCTACTGTGCAGTACACCAATGAAGGAGACCCAGCACAAGCAGCACAAAGACACACTCATTCAAGCGAAAAATCACACGTCAGTCAAGCAAACGAGACCGACAATGAGCTACTGTGCAGTACACCAATGAAGGAGACCCAGCACGAGTAGCACAGAGACACCCATTCAAGCAGAAAAAGTCACGCAACACTCAAACAAACGAGACTAGATAGTAAACACAAGAGTGTCGTTGACCACTGAAGCTACAGTGCCACGGGCACCCCACTGCCGATGGAAGAAGTCACGACGTCGGGTGGATGTGAAGCGCCTGAAGAAGATGTTGAGATGAAACCTCAGGCGGGTCTTTACACGTGCGATGACGTCCACAGCGCCAGGCCTGGAATTACGGAAGCGGAAGTCGTTACGAGATTGCCAGACAAAGAATTTACAGAGGTTGAGGAGGTAGATGAGAACACAAGGGGTGGCCCTCAACTCATTAGAATTGAGACCAAAGATGACATGACGAAGAAGGAGAACAGGACACATGGAAGAGAAACCAAACAGTAACGACTGTATCCAAGAAAGAACGCTCTGAGCAAGAAGGCAATAAAAGAAAAGGTGTTCCGGTGTCTCCACCGGGGCACCACAGAAGCAAGGTAAAGGAACAGATAAGCCGAAGGAGGCCAGACGCTGTGCAGTGTACAAGACGCCGTGTGCAATCTTCCAATTAAGGTCAGTGACCTGACGATCAAGATGGAAGAGGGACAGGGAGCGCCACGTGGCAGGCCAGTCCAGATTCCCATAGATGGTGTTAAACTTCTCCACGCAATGCAGCGGGACCATGTTCTCCGACAGTAGGTAACGGTAACAGAG